ATTTTCAGTATCATGTATACGGAAATATTTACGAATTTATTATACTGTTTTTATACGTTTTTTATACGTTTTTTAAATGTATTATTTCCGTATACTTTCCTTATACTGATTATTTATAGGGAGTATAATTATGCATTCTGCTTGCTTTCCTTCTTCTTTCTCTTCAAAAATAACTATAATTCCTTTAATATTCATATCTTGAAATCTTATATAATTTTGGTTAAAATTATGACTTAACCAAAATTATAGTAATTATAAAAAAGATCTAATTATTAATAAAAATGATATGTAAGTTTATGAAAAAATAGGTGATAGTGATTATAATCGATTTGTGATTATATAGAGGTAATTTAATATTAATTAAAACTGTTTTTTAAAATCAAATGCATATAAGTGTGACTATATGGTAGCTTTGCAATAGAAAAGGAGGAAATTCTAAAAAAAATTTTTTTTAAGTTAATATTAAATCTGGACTTATTTACAAAAATAAATCATATTTAGCTTAGAAAGTAAAATTTTAATTTTTTTTAGAGTTTCCTCCCTTTTTATTGTAAAACCCTTATATAAGATGTGATTATATAAAGGTCTAACTATACAAAAAATAATTATATAAAGTTATAGAAATAAAATTATTATAAATATTAATATTCTTACATAAAAATATATATAAAATGCTCTATATATAAAAATTTCATATTTAATAATTTAATAATAATAAAATATAATTTTAAATACTATAAAAGGTTTTTTTATAATATAAAAATACATAAGAATAATTAACTTTAGCTTATATAAGAAAAAATTATTTTTATTAAAATAATTTAACAAAAAGTTAATTAATATATAATTTTACTTAAAATTGAATTAATAAAAATATAATTATACTTATCATTTTCATCTACTTATTTAATTGTAAATTCATAATATAAAATTTCAGAATTTTTTACATTTACATAATGTTTATTATTAATTCAATTTCAAATACATATATATAAACTATAATAGGGATTTTAGGGGAAAAAAAAAAAAAAAAAAAAAAAAAACTAAAATTTACACAAACCCAATAAGAATAGTTTAAAAAAAATTTTTTTTTTCATTAATGTTCAATATATTTTTGAGCTTGAAAACTTAAAATAACAAATTATCAACAAAAAAAATATCCCTACTTTCCCATTAAAAAAAAATGATCTAAACAAATTAAAAAGCAATTTAAAAAATTTGTACAGGTGGGCCGCGTTTTACATTTGATAGACGTCGTTTTTTCTTTGGCGGTCCATTTGATTCTTCCTCGGATTCTTCGCGATTAGAAGTCGTTACAATATTATCTTCCGTTACCACATCGATTTTAATATCAGATTTACATTCTTTTATAATTTGAAGATTCCCTTCATCCATACCATCCATAAATTCATCAACACTTGATAAATGATCACTGTGATTATCTTCTTCATCTACTCTAGTAGAAGGTGATAAGGTCTGCACAGAATGTCCATCTGCATCGATCGGTGTACTCTGATATGTATCGTCATCTGCAATAGCCGTTATCGTATCAGGGGTGTCGATATTCTTTGACGAATCGGTGATTCTTGCGTTAAATCTAGGCGGCGGTGTCGATGGTGCTGATATATCATTATTATTAATATTAATCGGATTTTCAGCAATTAGAGTATCTGCTGTTGAAGCGGTTGTAATATTTATTGGTGTTTCCATTGAAACTGTTGAACAATCCGATGAGGATGACACTTCTCTACTAGGAGTTTTTTGTTGATTATCTTGTTGTTTCGGTGTCAAGGTAGATGTTGGAAGTGACGAAATGGCTGAAGATAATATCAATTCTGCGGCCAATGAAAGATTATCTAAACCGCTACGTTCCAACCTTTGAGTTGTAGTATATGCTGGAACTGTCGTAGATGTGGTGTGAGTAGCAGGAATGTTTGGTTGTATAGGAGCGTATGTAGGCACAACCCTTGGTTGAGATGGAATAGAAGGATTATTTAACTGCGTTGGATAAGTAATTGACTGATTTTGACGAATATCTTGGTGCTGCCGTGGAAAAGAATACGAAGGAAATACGGATCGATTATTTGAAAGATAGGGAGGATACTGCGATGGATTATTTTGAAGTGCTTGTGGTATTTGATATGGGGGGAAATTTCTACGATTTGGATCCTGTTGTTGTGAAGCATATACTGATGGAATAATTGGTAATCCATTTGAATATTGTACTGAGGGAGATGATGAATTAGCAGGAGGAGGCTAATGAGATTAAAAGAGTAAGTAAAGCAGAGCACTTCCCCCAAAAAGAAAAATAATAGAGACAACGATTTTCAACTTCTTACGTTTAGTTGCTGATGCTGGTTCTGCCGTGAATACGTAAAAGAAAAATAATTAAAATTAAGATAAAGCAACTTAATCGATCCATTTGTAATTGATTACCTACTTGTATATATTGTTGTGAATGATGTGAGGGCATCTTTTGTACGTGTGGGAAATTGTAAGTTAAATATCCATTCGTCTGTTGCTGAGGAACATATTCAACAATCTTTCCAACTACTTCCGTAGTATTTGATGTTGTCGAGTATTGTAACAGAGAAGGTTGTGCCTATTTTGCATTTCGGAAAATAAATGTTAATTTTCAATTTATCATCATTATTTATGCAAAAATATATATCTATATATTACTTTTCTTTTCATGTTTCTTCTATCTAGCTAGATATATATTAACAATGATGATGCAAAGAGTAAGGCATTGAACATACAAATAAACATATATATTTTTTTGTATATATATATTAATAAGATAATAACAAAGCTTTTGTATTTGTTTAAAAGAAAGAAAAAATTACTAACCTCTCTACGAGCTTCTTGTTCTTGCATGCTAGCATATTTTTCTTTAACATCAGCTAATTGTACGTTAGTTTCTTTGTATTTTCGACTTAGAATCTTAACATCTTCTTGTAATATCTTAAGTTCTACAGAATGTTTACTGGCCTTTTCTTTTTCCTGATAGAACAAAAATAATTTGGTAACTAATTATTGAATTAAAAATATATATATATATATAAAATATAAAATAAATGCTTACTCTTATCGAATGAAATTTTGCCATGCTCTCAATATGTTCATTTGCTTTTTTGGCCCTTGCCTGTGCCTCTTTTATCTAAATAAATTGAATTTGTTTATAGATTAATTTATAAACCTTCAATTAATAAGATAATAAATATTAGATATGAACTTTTGATTCTGCTTCATAAGATACGCGATTTAATGTTGATTCATAGGCACGAATATGTAGTATTGCATCTTTTAGCTTTAAAAGAGATAAAAACGATTGCAATCTAGGTAAATAATTCCTCTAAGTATAAAGTTCATAGTAACTACATAATCTTTCCCTAAACAAACACGAACTTACCATATGTTTTGCAGTCTCGATGTCCAATTTTTCTATAGTATCATCATCTAATATATAACGCATGGAACTTTCAACCCTTACATTTTCAGCCTTAAGCCAAAAGATTATAAAGTTATATTTCTCAAATATCGAACATTAATATAAATTAACATGATAGATTTTGTAAAGAACATACTACCTGTGCATAAAATTGAACCTGTGGTAGCTGTGACTGCATTGGTAGTTGTGTTGTTGATTGTTGTGATGTTAATTGTAACTGGCCATTTGTTATATGAGCAGGTGTCGAAGTATCACCTGCATTATCGCTTGTAGGAGTATGTAAACCAGACTGTTGGTTTAATAATCCTTATAGATATTTAATTATTCGTTAAAATTTGCTGTAATTTAAAAGTTTTAGATAAAGTGAAAAAATGAAATACCTCCAACAACTTGACTTGAATTTTCTATATCCTCATCATCTTCAGCAGGTAATAAAACCAAATCAATTTTCCATCTAGCACGTTCTCCCCAAATTGAAACCTGAATAAAAAAAAAATGGGAAAATATATTAAAAAAATATGTTGAAGGAACTCACTATAATTAATTACAATATTCAAATGTTAACGTCCAAAAAATTTAATTTTTTATGAATTGTAAAAGCTATTAACCGCGTTAAGGCTTTTATTGGTAAAAAAAAAATTTTACTTAATTGCATTAATTTTCGGTTTGTTCAAATGAGTAATAAAATAAAATAAAATATAAACAGTTATTTATTCTTTCAAACGTGCAAACACAACTTTACCATTTAAAAGTACTCTTATTCTCTTTTCTATATTCTGCAAGAAGTTAATTCATACCTGTTTTTTCACAGCCTCGAAAATATTTTCAAGGTGACTTAAGGTGGAGGTAGGAAGTTGTTGAATAGGTTTAGTCGAGGAATTTGGCGGTGTAGCAGACACCATAGTAACAGAAACGGAATCCGACCTTTGTGTTAAGTGTGTGGTTTTATTGTCAATTTTTTTTTCCATTGGAATTTGATAAGATTGAGACATTTTTATTGTTCGCTAATAGATCCAATTTTTTTTATTAGAGGTTAACTCAAGCAAGAAATCTGTATTGGTTAAAGGACCAAAAAAAAAAAAAAAAATCGTAATAAGAAATTGGAAAAAAAAGCCGTGTTGAATCAACAACGCAATTAAACACTAGTGTAAGTGGCCACTACTTAGGTTGTCAATCATTAATGTTCGTGTTTTAGTCACGTGCATAAAGACCTATTTATCGCGTTTGATGTACCAAATTTGGGTGGAATTTTTTTGCCAGATTTATATAATTGTCACATGATCATACCTTTAATTCCACGGAATACTGTAATGTAACGTAATACTGATATTGGCATTCTTAGAAAAAGTCTCAAACGTGTTGTATAATTTACTACAATTTACTACCCTACCGCTTTAAGAAAATCAAAATTTTAGGATAAAAACATATAGAATATTGTGAATTAACGATCAGAAAAAAATTTTTTTTTAAAAAAATCGATTTAAAATTCTTTATCATAATTTGTTTAAATATAAATAGAATCTGTAAATAATAATACAATATGCATTGAATGCAGATACTTCAAATTCTAATGATAAGTATAAGAAAATTTTAAACAATAAATATTAATGCAAACTTGATTCAAAAATAATAATTTTATAATCTACTATAATTATAATTAAATAATTATATTGAATTTAATTAAAATTCTAATTATTTAAAAAATAAGTCTGAGAAAGTTTAATAGAATTTTGAATTTAAAATGCACTAAAAGCCAGAATCTGATTTTCTTAGCAACCTTTTCAAATAATAAAATAAATAATAATTTTAATTATAAATTTACATACTTTATTTAAAAAATTTTCTATTTTTAATTTTTTTATTTTTTTAATAATATAAATCAATTTATTATTTTAATTATAAAAATATAAAAATCATCAATTAAATAAATAAATAAAAATTTTTTAATAGTTTAATTAGTTATATAAAAGCTTTGCAATAGAAAAGAAGGAAATTTCAAAAAAATTTTTTTTGAGTTAATATTAAATTTAAACTTATTTTATCAAAAAAAACATAATTAACTTATAAAGTAAAATTTTAATTTTTTTAGAGTTTCTTCCTTTTTACTATAAAACTCCCATATAATTAAAGTTAAATATAATGATATATTTGTTTTATTTAAAAATATCAGTATAATGAGATATCATTATATTAAATAATCTTTATTTAGCAATATAATAAAAAAATATGAAGTTTGTATTTATCATTACTGGTGATCAATAACAGTGTTAAATCAACCAATAGTAATTGATATTTTTTATTACTTCATATCCCTTAGATTGTAAGCAAATTTGCTTGCTTATTTACTATAAATTCTTTTTTGATTTATTTTTATAAATAAATAATTTTTTTTTAAAATTAATTTTATAAATATATAATATATTATAACTAAAGATGATAGCAATTAATTTTAAATTTACATGTTATAACATAAGCTAAAATTAGTTATAATGTATGTTATAACATTATATATTGCAATATATATAGGTCAAAACTAATTGCAATGTATGTTGCAACATTAGAAGTTACAAAATATTAATTATGATTTTCATTTTTAATTATAATGAAAAATTTAAGATTTATTTAGAAGCTAAAAATTTGTAATTTCTAAATAAAATTATATAAAATTTCATGATTAATCTATGATAAACTTTTTAGAATTTACTTTTAACTATATTACTCATAATAGAATATTATAAAAATTACTTATAAAAAAACTTTTATTATTATAATTTTTATAATTTATTAAGAAATTTTATGACTTTAATTAATGATAAAGTGATTCAATTAGTACGCAAACATATAAATTTTTAAAGAATTTTTAAAAATTATTATAATAAATTTTTTGAAACTTAATTTTATAATTAAATT